TATAATTAATGTATTGTGATAGCGATACGTAGCAATAATAGCAATTATTATACATATTGGTATATATTTGTTAATATCTCCGGCTGCAGATCCAAAATTCCGTTTTGTATACATATTGCCGGAAAAAATCAGGACACGTCATGCCACAATTTTGTGCACTGATCGGGAATGATCTGTTCAGAATAATGAGGATTTCCGGAACGATGACCCGGGAGAGCCGGGGAATGTTAGAACAAGAAAATCTTTACACGTTTTAATTTTTTATTCCTTCGTATCAAACGATTTAACAATTTTACCTGCATTACTCATCATAATTAAATTTGATTTTGACATTAAATGCGCTATAACAAAATAGTGAAACTTTAATATCACACAAATTATTATTTATTCTTTTATGAAACGACACTATAAAGACAAAAATGTAAAACTTCTTATGATGCATCCTGCACATCTTCGTGTATAATGCTCTCTACTGTGGTTTTTTTTATTTAAGAATAAAAACTAAATCGCGCTAAAGCTAAATACTAATCTATCTATTAATAGTAAAAAGTATGCCTAAAGTAGTAAATGTTCATAGTAATGTCATGCCATTATAGACGTTCAAAAAAGGAGAACGTAAAATACGATAATCTCGGAACAGCCTTCCACGTGAGAAACTGAAACAAAAAGTGTTTATACCTGTCTTGGAGGAACTAAATAAAAATAATAGGAAAGAAATTTTACTATTATTTACCTAAATTTCTAATTTCACGAACTTAGTTTATTTGGATCCGGTTTATTTCACCGAAAATCAATTCACCCCGACAGTAATTTTACCAATAGTACGATTCACCGACAAGTTTTTTTTATAAATTACACTAACCTTAACTCGAATTCTGGCCTGACCCTAACGACAATGACCAGAATTACTTTGTCGGTGAAATGACTGACTTTCGGTGAAATAAACTTGCCAGTGATTGTCGGTGAAATAAACTTGTCAGTGATTGCCGGTGAATGAACGGACAAATTTTTCAAATAAGGGCATAATCGATTCTTTTCAATATTGCATATTATTAGCGAAATTTGCTCAATCTTTCAAATTTTAAATTTTCCTTCTTTGATTTTGTATCACTCACACAAATAATTATTTTCGACCAGATTTTGTTACCGTACCTACTATCAATTTCTCAAATAAGGATATAATCTGTTCATTTCAAACATTGTTGCTCAATATTTAAATTTATAAAACCCTTTTAATGATACAAATTATGAACACAATTGAAATTAGGTAATTTAAAAGTAGGGATTCGTGTCACTTTATCGACAATCACCTTTTATTTCACAGATAATTAAGTTTATTTTACAGATAATCAATTCCAAAATGGGTCTTTTTTATAAATTGCATTAACCTTAGACATGACCACGATAATCATTAAGAATGAAACATCGATTATCTGTGAAGACGTGCATATGATTTGATTGTCTACGATGTGACCGCACTGTTTATGAAGATAATACATGCGGTGACATAAAAAAAATTTATCGACAATATATGCGTAAGTTTTCTTAAAAATGCTTTATGGTTTAAAAGAGCAATTAACCATATACATATACAAAATGAATCGATTTTTGATTTATATTACTTTGCTAATTAATTACTATTGATTATTTAAACGAGGAATGGGTCTGGAATTTAATATAAATAGAAGGCTCAATTTCCTTTACATCGACAAAAAAAAAATAAAAAAACTTCTTATTCATTAATAACTTGCAGCCTTTCACTAAAGTCTGGTACATAAAATAAAAACTAATTGTTCTTCAAGAAATCATCCTTTACTTCTATATATATAAATTTTTTTTCTTGAAAAAAAAACAAATGGCTCGATTAAATGTTAAACTTCTAGCTTTGTTATTAGTCACTTTGGCTACTGTTATTTCTGCCCGTGTAATCAATGTTGCGGTTGGCGAAAATGGTGAATTGTCTTTTTCTCCGAACAACGTTAAAGCAAAAGTTGGTGATAAGGTAAGTATTTTTGATAATTTTCTTTATAAATAAACAAGTAATGTGTTCAGTTTAATATAATGTTCTCTTTTATCAAATCTTTAGATCACTTTCACATTGAAATCCGGTTTTCACAGCGTTATTCTATCGGACAAAGCTGGTGACTGCACGAAATCTGCAAAAATAAAAAACTCTGGTAAATATCTATCATTTTTATCCATCTTGCCTTTATCAGTATAAAACTTCTCACACAAATTCGTTATTCTTAATCAACAGAAATCTTAGCCCAAACCGATAAAGTTGGTAAGAAGGGAACATTTATAATTACTCAAAATACACCATCAAAACTCGGATTTTTCTGTGATGTAGGTACACACTGTAATGAGGGTATGAGTGGTGCCATTAATGTCGACAAAAAACACCCGTTGTGATTTCAACCAGAGCTATGGATTCAAATTCTTCGTCTCCCATAAATATATAATATCAACATCTTATATGAGTTAAAGTTTATCAGATTATATAATATATATTTTAAATTGTTGGCTATCATAAGTGGGAGAAATATACAATATAGTATAGTACAATTTTTATGATAGTATTAATTTTCTTATTTTTTTATTTCTTATTTAATAATAAACATTCAGCATATTGTTTATAATCTTTAAAAACTTGCTATAAAATCAAAATATTAAAAGTTTGGTGTGATCTAGTTTTCTCTTGATTATTATTTTACACTTTAAATTATCTATGCTTAAAATCGATAAAAATTGAATGATCTTATTTGGGCTAACTCAATATACGACCACAAATAAATATTTAATATTATCCCATGAGTACTATGTAACAACCCGTGCTTTTTTGACAAGGTTATTTCATCGGTCTATATGAAAATCACATAATTCATATAGACCGATGTGAATAACCTTGTCATAAATCATCGTTTTTATGTAAGTTTGGGTCCTTTAAATTATCGTGTGCAAGAATTTATTTAGATTTCGGTCTCTTAAATTATCGTGTGCTAGGAAGAACATTATTAGGTTTCAGTCTTTTAGATTCTTGTGTTAGGAAAACTTTATTTAAGTTTGGGTCCTTTAATTCGTTGTGTGCAGGGAAGGTTTTATTTATGTTTTTTTAAATTGTTGTGTATTGAGATGGACTTTTAAAATTGTTATTTGTTAAAGAACTAGTTCTTTTTTAATTATAAAAATATTATTTTAATTTATTATTTATAAAACATCATTTATTAATTATAATTCTTTATTCTTTAAATGGCTCAATGAAATATTTAATATCGTAGTAATAGTCTTTTTTGTGATACCAGCATGTTTCACGCGAGATGGTTCATATGACGGTACTGGCGATGATTCACATAATGATCGTGACGATAATTGTTGCTTTGTCGTTTTTTATTTTTCTTTATTTAACGGTTAATAAATATTTATTAGTATTCTCTACACGAGAGGAAAAAAAAAAGTTTAATTTATGATGTGTGTTGCACGGGTTGTTACGTCGTACCCATGGGATAAACTAGTTATTTAATTGATATCTGTGGATACGGGGTTTTTCACAGGATAATATTAAACCACGTGGCCGTAGGCCACGTGATTTCACTATTATCCTGTGGAATATCCCGTATCTGTTATGCGTTATTTTTAGATTCTGTCAATTAATGTTTGACATATGTTGTTTTTCAATTAAAAAATGACGTAC